GATCTCTTGTTGTTTATAGGATGGCTGTCGTTATACTGCTGCAGTCACTGGGTAGTTGAGCATTAAACTATGGGGATTTTTTTTCGTTCCAGGATGTTTTTCCTACAGATTTCGGGCCTGACTATGACAGCGCTCTACAGGTGCTAATGCTGGATTTCCTGTCCAGACTGGAGAAGCTTCTTCCAGTACCAGACATTCAGCAGGTACTAGAACCAGTTTGCGGCAAAACAAACCTTTTTCTGTCTTCAGTCAGCTTCTCTGTTTCTTTAAGCAGCCAGATTTTTGGTATAAAGGGGAGCCTGATTGTAGACTGGTGGAATAAACGATGCACCCAGCCATCACCGGAGTTACACTGGTCAGGCAGTGAATGTCTTATCACATTCGCCACGAGTCCATCACAAATATAGTATACATGTATATCTGTTCAGTCATTCATATTATATATACATATACATATTATTATTATTATTAATAAATATTATTAATATTATCATTATATACTGTTATTAACAATAACCACTACCATCATAATCATCAGTACATTACAACCATCCTTCAAATCTTGCAACTACAACTCTTTGCACCTTACCTACCTATTTATCTTTTTTATCTTTTCTATCTAAGTATTTTATTCTATTGTATTTTATTGTATTTTAATGTACCTGGCTGCTATGACGACCCAATTTCCCTCAGGGATTAATAAAGTCTATCTATCTATCTATCCGTAGAAAACATCCAAAGAAGCTCTCTCAAGCTGTGGAACTTAGGTATCTAAGTGATACAGTGAAAGCTGTCAGTACATCCATGGGTACTTTACAAAAATGGAGTGCTAATTTAATTTGGCATATTTTTAATGGTGCCAAAATTAAAACAAACTAAAATAGGTTCTCAGTGTAACTTGCTGAATCATACTTTTATTCTTCCTCTTTACACCCCCAAACTTTTTCTCATTTTACATTATCAATGCTTTTTTAAATATTACTAAAGTTCATAATGTCCCATCAGCACAGTTCTTGTATTTCTGCAACAGTGATAATCACCTCTAGTATTCACCAATGTAATGTTGGAAACCTATAAACATTTTGTGCATAAAATACAACTCACTTGTAAATGAATGGCATTTCTGAGTCACGCAACTTATTCTGAGTTGCAAAAAAAAGCGTGGGGTCTAAAGTAGTATGTTGAGTGTGTGTCTGAAGCTATTTTATTCTTTATTACACCTACCTTGTATCTGTTCCCCAGACTGCATCCATGCTCAGTGCCGTCCCATCTGCCCTGGAGGAGTGTGTGCACTCTGTTCCTGACCCGCGGCACCTGAAAACTGTTCTCCTGTACCACACAACACTCGGACATTTCGATTTATGTGGTGAGTCACATCTGGGTTGCATGTGCAGTATTATAACTTATATTAAATGAGATGAGACTTTGGTGTCCTTTGTAATTCAATCCATTTACAGGGTGCAAAGTACTGGAACGCAGTTAGTTTGTCCTGGGATCTGGTCTGAACAATGGTTTTAAATTTTAGAAGATGAAAGTGTGTAGCTCTCTTCTTGTTGCTAGCGAGGACCAGGCTACTTTTTCATATCGTTCATTGATGAGTGCAATATTGATCTCTCTTAATGAAACAGTAAAAGATATCTTCATAGTCCACAATGGTTTCCTGTCCTAAATAGAACAACATGCTTTTTTCCAATATAAGAAACCAATTTTTATCTTTAGTTTCTATGCCAGTTGTTCCACATGCTGTTTAAAAGTTAGACTGCTATCACAAAGTACAAAGTACCCAGATATTTATTAGCCCGAAGAACTTCAGTTTCGGTACCTCTGTGTGTGTGTGTGTGTGGATGGGCTGAACAAGTCTGAGTTATTGGGTAATGTTACAGTGTAATTATGAGTATAAACTGATTTTATTGTTGTTTATAGCTGCTGACCATAAAAATAATGGGATTCTTATTTTCCCCCACAGATGAAACTCAGACCATTCCTTCTTCCTTTGGGAATTGCATCCTCTCTTCGCTGTCCCTCCCCCAACTGGAGAAAGTTGTAATTGATGCAGACCAAATCCAGTTACAGCCTCCATCAGAGCAGATGCAAGGTTGTGTGACTGTCCAGGTGGAGGGTGAAACCGTGACACTGCTGGACTACATACAGATCGAACAGCCACCGGGTTTGGGTGAGCACGACGATCAGGAACATGAAGTACACGAGGAGGAAACTGCAGGAGAGGATGTCGGCGACAACCTGAAGCCGGCAGCTTTTCAACCACTAAAACAAAGCAAAAGGCTCCAGTTAAAGAGAAAAGTTTTAAAAGAAAATAATGATTCAGCAGCAAAGAGGCAAAGAAAAAAATATCCCAGTAATAAGACATGTCCTGTGTGCAATAAGGTTTTCCTGCGAGCTGCAGCCATGAGACGACACCAGGAGACTCACTCTGCCAATCGGGATCTCAAGTATAAGTGCGGCAGCTGTGACAAACGATTCAGGGACCATTACGACATGAAGCGGCACAACATGCGCGTTCATGAAAAGGACGAGATGTGTATCAGCTTTAAAGAAGAAGACTCGGGCGATCCGAGCACATCTGAGATGTCAGAAAATAAAAACTGCGATCTGTGTGGGAAGTATTTTGCCCGCAAAGTAGACATGGAGCGACACATGAAGTCCCACTCAGAGGACCGCCCGTATGACTGTGCTTTCTGTGAGAAGAAATTTAAGAACCCTTACGTTTTAAAGAGACACCAGAAGGAGATTTGTAAGAGCAGAGAACTGAAAAGGCCAAAGAGGAGAGAGACTCAGCGCTCAACTCCACAGCCACTATCAGAGGGGTCGACAGAGGGCAAAATCTGCCCCATCTGCAGCCGGATCTTACCTTGCTCTGCGGACATTGCAAAGCATTTACGATCTCACACGGAAGAGCGTCCATTTATCTGCATCACTTGTGAGAAGGGCTTCAAGTACAAGGACACACTGAAGAAGCATCAGATTATTCACGGTCACGAGGGGATAAGGGAGGAACAGAGCAAGACTGTCGAACAGATTTTGGCAGAAGCTGAAGCCGACACTCAGAATTGTGGTGAAACAGATAAAAAGGAGAATAATCCAGATGCACCTGCAGACACTTCTGAGATGGCCCCATGCCCGCCTGTGAAAAAAGTCAACAAAAAAGGCCTTAAAGTGTGCCCTGTCTGTGCTAGGGCGTTCGACAGTGTCAAAACGCTCAACAGGCACATACAGTGTCACACAGAGGACCGGCCTTATCACTGCATCCACTGCAAAAAGCGTTTCAAACACATGCACGGCCTGAAAAGACACCAGATTTATGCCATTTGTCATAAGAAAGTTGCTCGCTTCTCGTGGAAAAAGGAGACGAGAGCAGGGCCCAGCCAAAGCGAAGCAGCCACCGCCGACCCCCAACAGGGTGCACCTCTGAAAATACCTGTGTGGTGTTCAAACTGCGGCAAACACTTCGAATACCCGTCCGCTTTAAAGGAGCACCAAGAGAACGTTTGCAAAGTGCAAGTGAGTGAAATCATGAAATGCGACGACTGCGCGAAAGAGTTCAAGAGCATGACCATGCTCAAAGTACACCAGAGGATTCACGACCCGCTCTACTGCAAAGAGTGCGGAAAGATCCTCGCCAACGAGCCTGCTTTTGAGAGGCACAAACTCATGCACAGGCCGATGCAGTGTACAATGTGTGATAAGACTTTTACTTTGCTCAGACGCTTGAGGGAACACTATGAGAAGCAACACGACTTCACCGGACCATATCCTTGTCCACAATGCGATAAAACCTTCATGCAGCTGTCCTACCTCGCCATCCACCAGAGAATCCACAAAGGAGAGTTCCCTTACATCTGCAACATGTGTCCAGAGAAGTTCAGGTCTTCCAACTGTCTGACGGTTCATTTGAGGAAACACACCGGGGAGAAACCCTTCCTGTGCTGGCAGTGTGGAAAGTGTTACCGCTCTGCCTCGGAGCTCACGGTGCACATGGGAACCCACTCAGAGGAGAGACCGTGGGCCTGCACGCAGTGCGACATGGCTTACCGCACCAAGCTGCAGCTGACCAACCACGTCGAACAGGTCCACATCGGCGTCAGGTACCCTTGCCACAGCTGCGGGAAGCAGTTCATGAAGGAGACATCCCTGAAGAGGCACGAGCTCATTCACACGGGCGAGAGGCCACACCAGTGTACGGTGTGCGGTAAGACCTTCCTGACCGCCAACGAGCTCCGGCTCCACAACCGGTATCACACCGGGGAGCGCCCGTACAAGTGTGAAGTGTGCGGGAAGGCCTTCATTCAGTCGGGATATTTGAAGTCGCACATGCGTATCCACACAGGAGAGAAACCATTTCGATGCGACATATGCGATAAAGGCTTCAGGTTGTCGTATCACATGAAAAAACACAGGCGGACTCACACCGGGAAGCCAAAGAGCTACATGTGTGAGGAGTGCGGGGTAGCGTTCCCCCATAAAAAGTCCCTGTGGGAACACTCGCACAACGTGAAAATCGAACCGTCATTCACTGATGAAGTGAGAATAGAATTTCAGTAGAAATTCTTAATGCAGGTTGTTTTTGCTTTTACAGGATGTTGAGGATGAGTTCAGTATCGAGGTCACCAAAAACACTTAATTTCTTAATTCTTTGTTTGGTCTTTGTTATTTGATTTTCACCAGTTGTTAAGTTGGTGTTATTTTCCCTCCTTGTTGCTTTACAGTGTTGATTCCAATGTTCCATCAAGCATATTGATGATCTATAACACTGATGTACATATTTAAAGCCGATGAATAATTTGTGCTTACATGGATTTTTGAAATAAATCTATCTTGCAATGTAATTTTTCTGCTCCTTTCATTTTTATATAAATCATATCAATAAGTTGAGTGACAGAAAATAATTAGACAGCAGGATTGATGGTCAGTTTATTAAATTCAAAGATGCACTGGTTGCAGCCTTTAAAATGTGAGGATTTACTCTTTGTTGTATATTGGTGTACATTTATTATGTTTTTGGACTGTTGGTCACACAAAATAAGCAATTTAAAGATGTCAACCAGGGCTCTAGGAAACACAATGATCATTAATTTCACATTTTATGAGTCATTTGGCTTTTCTATTACGACTAACAGGCAACAATGAATGCATTTTTTTTGTAGCCATAGAAAAAGGTATTCATGTAGTCTAATGCGTCAAAGTAAAATAAATATCATGGACTGAGAACAAAGATGCTTTAAAATCAGAAATTAAAACTAAACTGTAAAATAACACTTATTTAAAGGTGAATATTTGACCTACTTGTAATATTTTTACCTAATTTCATATATTTAATTATACAATTAAACATTAAAGATTCCCCCAGACATGTTTGACCAAAAATTACTGTTTCAAACACTTTTTTCCCCCCCACAAAATGGTCCAAATATAAAAAGATAATATCCAAAAAATTTAAAAATATGCAAATATTAATTTTGAACTTCTAAACACAAAGTCTAAAGCCTATTCTCTGTTTAAAAGTTTGCAATTTAGACTTGTGTATGTTTCATATTAGACTGCAATTGGCTTAAAGGCAGTTGTCTCAAAAATTATAATTCAAAGGGAAAACAAACTTCTAGAGTCAAACTCTGCACAAACACCCAAGTCAAGTAACAAAAAGCAAAACCCATTTTGAGTGAAGTGGCACTTTAAAGTATGCATTTTACTGTGACCTTAGGAAGTCACGAGTTGTGTTTCACCACAATACAATCCAGTGTTTTGTCAGTAGCCTTCTTCAACCAGAAGATGGCAGTATAGTAGTGATAATGAGCAGTGGGGCTCAGCAGCTGTCAGTATTGCCCCCCTGCTGCCTCAGCTTGTGTTGGAGGCTCTTCACTCTGCAAGCCTCCTAAAACATAAATAATACGTTGTTTATCCTTCATTAGCATCCATATCTCAATGCTCAGTAAATATTGAAAGTCTAACATGCACAAAGACATCAGTTTACATTGTAATTCGCGGGGAAGCTTGTTTGTTTATGCAGCTTTTTACTTTATGCAACATAAATTTCCCAACAATTGTTTATACAGCCTCGGTGACTGCAAATCAATATTTATCCTCTGCTCTTCCTCACAGTCAGTGTCACCTGACTGTTTACTCAGCCTGAGTGACAGTTTAAACCACAGCAGCAGCAGCTAGAGCTGCATCTCTGCCCAGTTCCAGAGAAACTGCTCTCATCTCTGAGAAAAATCAAAGGCCGACTGAGTCAGAGCCTCTCCAGAGTGTTGGGAGCAGATCACTTTTTAACCCAAAGCATATTGATTTATATGGGGCTGTAATTGCTTCAGTGTGTCCTGGATTATTCCCCCCGTAATTGAGGCCTGGCAGAGGTCTCTTTCCTAGACATAGCCTCCCCAGTGCCAGGTGGTGGGCAGAGAGGGAGCACCGCACCCACTCCCCAGCCAGCCGGAGAGAGAGCCAGGGAGCGGTGGCCCTTACCCCCCAAGAACCACTCCTCGCTGTGGGATAAGTAAACAGCACAAACAGTACACTTCCCTGCATGCTTTGAGGTATCTCGCACAGGCCCTCGTCCAGCTGTAATTGCAGTATGAGGCAGCACATTATGAGTAGAGCTGGATGGGACGGACAGCTCGCTGCAATATCACTGACACTGAAAAGTCCTGAATCTGTGCATTTTCTTGGATATTTGGCTCTCAGCTGCGGTTTGTCTCTCAAGGATTAGTTGTGTTTACTGAAACCACATATTAAGGCTGTAATTACTGTACATGCTATTGTTCAAGTATTTGTTTTGTGTTTTTGTTCCTGACTCAGTGGAACATTCCTGGATTTTGTAATAGACGGAATGCTTGCACGCTCCAACAGGTCTTGAGATTACCGTCGTGTCACAGATATAAGGGGGTAGACAAAATCCTTGAAAAAAGGACCCATGTCGCCTTGAGAAACAGCAGTACGAGCGCGTTTGTCGCTGCCCGTATGTGACATATGTTGCACCTGCGGCTGTGAGTCCCGACCATCTGAGAGGGTCACAAGATGATTAGAGACATAAGGAAGAAAATTATATTTCTGTAGCACAAAATCTTTTGAAATACTGGTGATGTTAGGCCTTTAAAAATCCTTTGAATGAAACAATCTGAAAAGGAAAAACACTCTTTCGTAGAACTACAAAGGCCGTAACTTATAACAAGTGATCAGAAGTAGCCATTGACTTGCTCTAAGGGGTCTATAGAGAATTATCACCCAAGACTTTTAGCTCGTTTCGGTTTTAAGGCTCATTTACTGTATGGTCCAGTCTGTCTATTCTCAGCACCTATCAAAGTGCTGGTTATAGCTGCAGTAACATTCACATATTAATAATCATTGCTTTATAAGTTGATACTTCTTAATAAATAGTTGCTTATTTACACATCCAGCAGCTGCAGAGCAGCATTAGCATTCATTTGGAGCTGTATTTCTGGCCAACTGATCAATGGTCCAATATTTACTCTCTTTTAGCTCTGTGTTTGGTATCCATCAACTGTTGAGGGAAATATCTCTCTCAAAATGCTCACTTAATGCTATGTTCACAAGCTAGGTGCTAACTTTGTGGCTTGGTGGTGAGCAGGTAGTGTACAGTGAGTTTCTCTGTGGGTCAAGGTCATTTCATCCATTGTCTATACAAAAATATTGTGTAGCTTTAAAGGTCCAGTGTGTAACATTTAGGAGGATCTATTGGCAGAAACAGAAGATAATATTCATAGGTAGGTTTTCATTGGTATATAATGAGAACCATGTTTTTATTATCTTAGATGGAGCTGTTTTTATCTACAGAGGAAGCAGATCTTCTTCTATGGACTCTGCCATGTTTCTACAGTTGCCCAGAAAGGACAAACCAAACACAGGCTCTAGATAGGGCCTTTTGGGTTTGTTGTGAGCGTCATGGCCGCTGTATTTTTTCTACAACACTTGGAAGGCGAGCTGTATTCACTGCTGGAAGCCACTGAATCATACACACTGGTAACTATGCTGTTTACTGGAATCAGCTTTGTTTAGACTTGAATGTATAAGCACTTTAGCCTAAAATAAAGCCCCTTTTTGTGTACCTACCTGTTGTACGGCCAGCTACCCAGAACAAGGCACAATCACATTAGCTGAATAAACTGGTAACAGGGAAACACACAGTAAATAACAACCAGTGCCTCTGCAGCTGGACTCCACACTGAGAATGTGGCTCTATTGTTTTCATCACCACTAAACTCAGGGTGCACCTTCCAAGTTTAGTTTCCTAAGAAACTGATGTGATAACACACAATTTGATGAAAATCCTTCCACCTCCAGCATGTTCAGCGATCATAAACAGTTAAACTGTCCCAGCGATATTTTTTGAAAAAGTAGGTTTTGATCATCAGCAGGCACCACGGAATTTCCTGGCCTTTTTGCCAAAATACTGTGACCCCTGCGAGTTACTACGGAAACATAGCGTATCAAAACAAGCGCCCCATTTCTTGCTTTTGCTCCATGACGCACCTTTATTTCTTCCATATGAAGTGTATGGCACAGCAGAGGGCTTTGATAACAATATCTGCTCTGAATGCGTGTACAACAGTGCCACACAAACTCCACACCACACCCTGTTTAACCACCAAGCTTGGGAAAGTAATTCACATCACAAATTACCCCTACAATCACTTGCAATAGATACCCTTCTTTCATTGTTTTTGCAAAGCTTTTTTGTTTTAGTCAATTGATAAAGGAGGAAATATAACACAGAGAACCCATTGAGCTGGAAAACCCCTCAGACTAATCAAGAGAATAGAGAAGGATTGCTCTCCTAATCAAGTGTGTGTATGTGCGTGCACTTGCATGTGTGTGTGTCCTCATGTGAACCTGTGTGTGTGCCCAGACATATCCCCAGCCTCACACATTCCCTCCCATCTTGGGTACCAGCCCTGCAATCCCCACACACGCAGCCCTCCATCCTCCCTCGCCTCCGCGCTGTTCACGCAGATTTTTCAAAAGCGAAGAGCTTTATCTCGTTTTTTTTTATTTATCCACTCTAATTCTTCCTCCGTCCTCTCACTTTTATCCACTCACATTCATTTGCATTCTGCACCGCTGTCTGTATCTGTGTATCCCTCTGACTCGGACATTTGTTTGGCAGGAGAGACCAGACGGGATGCTGTTAACACTGCAAAAAGTGTCTGTCTTTGCAAGTCTCTTTGCATTGCTTTTTGTTAACAACTTCTTCCAAATTGGGTGAAATAACTCCGCTTGTTGCCAGATTTGTTGCATAAGTTTTCTTTTGTGAGTATAGCTCTCTTTTAACAAGGCAGATTGCTCACCTATTATCAGTAAAATTACACTAATTTCAAGAAAAGATCCTTTAAAAAGTGGAAATGCATTGTCAAACTACGTAAACTATCCTGACGGCATTATTTTTAAGCACTTCTTTAAAAGAAAATGTGTGATTTTAAAACTCACTCCTGATCAAAATGACTTGCAAAGATGGACATTTTTTACAGTGAACACTTTCTCCTTCCTACACCAGAAGGGAGTGAAAACAAGCCTTTCCCTGGTCAATGAGTTCACTGGGGCGGACGTCTCCGTAGACAAGGCTGCAGGGGGGTTTAGAGGGGGAGGTGGTGGTGGTGGTGGTGGTGGTGGTGGAAGAAGAGGTGGT